CATTTAATTAATCCTTTATCGATTGCCCAATCCTTTTCAGATCCTAAAATTCCTACTAAATCCTCAAATTTTAATTTTTCTTTCAGATCTTCCTTATCAGCTTGATTAAGATTATAATTCTTCATGTTTCTTTCTAGATCCAATATTTTTCTAATGATTTTCTCACTTTTCATATTAATATCATCCTTAAAAGTTTTGTGAAATGGATTTTCATATGATAATTTAAGGTCTCCCAAATTTTGGATTGGTTTCTCTCTAAATGATTCAAATTCTGGATCAAATTCTATTGGCATACTTTTTTGTCTCATGTTACTTCTAATTCTTCCCATTGGTACCGAGTAAATGGTGGAGGCGGTCCTTCTATATTTATCTTATTTGAGAAAATAGGTTTTTCTAATTCCTTAAGAATTTCTTCCATTAGTCTTTCAATCTTTGTATCCTCATTTCTAAACTAAAAGTTTTTCTGAAATATATCCTCCAATTCTCTTCTAATTCTTAGTTCAATATGCTTATCTTATTAATTATTATTCTCCTTAAGGTTTGTCTTAGGGTCACTAAGTAAAATTTCTGGAAGATGCCTATTAATTGCATTAATAATCTGCTGTAGTTGGTTTTCCATATTCCTAATTACAGTCCCTGGACTTTCCAGCTCACTCTCTATTTGAATAACAACCTCCTCTAATAGTTACTCTTTCTCCTCATTATGTGGGTTGAAGTTAAAATTATGAAGAAAAACAAGTCCAACTTTCAAATTGTCTTGATTATTCCAATTACATATCTGATTAAATTGATTAGCTTCCCAAACTTGATTTTCTCCTCAAAAATTATTATTCCTGTCAAAGTTTGAATGATTTTCCCAACCTGGCTTGTAATAATCGAAATAAGAATTTTGTATCTCATGAATAATTTCAAAAGCGTTAGTCTCGATCAGTTGTACAAATAAAATTTTCTCACAATTTTGGGGGCCCTTGAGGATAACTTTCTACATATTGATCTAACTTCCTTATAATATTTGCAACCTGAGAAGTTAAAATAGTAAGCATATCTTCTTGAAAATTTGCCACCCTCTTGAAGTCTACTCTTTTGAAACTACTCGCATTGTACTCCAAATATGAATATGCATTATACTGTTAATCCGTCATTTTTATATTAAATTGATGGAGTCTTTTCATATTCATAATCCTCTTAAAAGTTCTTCTAAATCTAAGTCATATATATAATCTAAGGTCTGCAGCTCCTTAACTACGAATACAAATCTAAGGACTTAACTAATATGACAAATATTAAAAATATTTTTGGTATTTTGTATTTTTCTTGAAAATAAAAACACAATAATTAAACACACTATAGTAATATTATAATTTCCAAATCTAGGACTTACAGGTTCAACTAAAAATTCTCCTAAATTTCTTACCGAAGCTTCCCCAGCAACGACGCCATGGACTTGACCTGCCCCACAATTACACAGTAATTTAGTTTTTAAAAGATGGAAAAAAACTTGACCCAATTTATATTTAGTGGCTACTGTGCAAAATCAAAATGTTATGAAATTTAGAAAATAGTTTACACACTAGGGGTATTACACAAGTATGCGTATCATTTCAAGTAATATTGGGTTTTCTTTAAAGACCCCAATATCGATCACACAGAGAAGCGAGGTAAGAATTTCCTTAGGCTAATTCAAGTCTACTATTATTATCTCTTAGTTTTGAATTTTTGAAAACTTTGGTTTTCCTAAATTTAATAATTTTAAGCTAAAATTAAAATTAACAAAATTCAATAAAAACAAACTCTAAGGAGACTTGTAAATTTTGGAAAGATATTAAATAATTAAAATTCCTTTCCTCATGCGATGAGATCATAATTTGTGTAGGAATAGAATGTTTAAAAATCAAATGTGATATTGTGACAAATAGGAGGAATCATATTTTGTATCCTCTTTACGAGTGACAAAGAATATTAGAGTGCATAAAGAGCATTGGCTAATCCAGAGTTTGGTCCCTAAATTCGTGGTTAGGCTGGGAAGATACTTGCTCTCACTCAAGAGTTCCCATGTTCCTCTCACCTGAGGGCTAACATCTCACTTTAGTTTGCAAATATCTTGACCAAACTGGTGATTTCAGTCAGTCACCCTAACATCATCAATTATGCGTCTGTTGACCTCACTTTTGGTTGAGGTTTAGTTTTCCCTCTTTAGTAGCCTAGGGTCTAGCCATAGGACTTTTCTATTGACTATTCCTAGAAAACTAGAAAAGAAACCCTCACCATTAGAAACTTTAAAATTTTCCATGCTCAACTTGAAGTTCCACATGTTGGTCCTAACCTCTGGCACTTAGTAGGGGGTCACTATGGGGGAGCTCAAGGAGAGTTACTATAGGGGTATATGACTTTAGAGTTGACTCTGGGTGTTGGTCTCGAGCTAGTTCACTCACTTGCACTCACTATCACCCACACTCACTCACAATCCCAAAACCCAAATTATTGACTTTGATCTCTTAATCTTTTGGGAGACTCATGTAGATGGTCCCCTAAACCCATCAGCCCTAGGCTAGGATTCGGCTAATACTAGTACGTAGAGGACCCAAATGGGGATTTCATTGGTCCATTACTCACAAAGGGTGGTTGGTAGCCCAATTCTACCAAAATATCCAACTTCGCCTATTGCCCTTAAATACATCCAAATTACCTAAATACCATTGATACCCTAAATTTGGTCAAAATCCTCAAATTCACCCAAAACACCCAAACTTATTCAAAAATCATCTCAACCCATTTCAAAATACCCAAATTACCCAAAACCACCCTAAATCTCCAAAATTACCAAAATACCCTCAAATTTGCCAAAATTACAAAAATACTATTGGCACGCCAAACTTTTCCAAAACCTCAAAAATCACTTCAAATATATCCAAAACTAATTTGGACCCTTCAATTGAACCCAATTTAGCCAATTTGACCATTTTGATAAAAACTTCTAAATTATCTTTAAAGACCTAATTTCCCCAAATTCACCTCAAATGTCCATCAATTTGAGCCCAATTCCCCTCAATCTCAATCCTAAACTCAAATTAATCTTTCATTTGATCAATCCAAACCAAATCTATTCCTAATTAGCCCATGCTTTGAGCTTAATTGTGAGCCAAGTCAAGCCCCAATTTTGGTCCTATCACTCAATTTTGGTCCTATAACCTAATCTCACCTAATTGAACCCCACAGCCTACTTAATTTTAAACCATGACCTACTTAATCTGCCCCAATTTGAATCCTAAACTCGTCATAACAATCCTAAACATCAAATTTGACACTTAATTGGCCTAGGTAAAGCCTCAATTTTGTCCCAAATCCAAAAAACCCTAAATTTTCTCCAAATTGGTTGTCTCCAAATTCCACCAAATTGAATGCCTGAACCCCAAAATTGACACCCAATTTATGTTTAAAACTCTTCATGACATTCCTATGGACCATTTTCAACCATCATTTTGAACTTAGGCCAACATGCTCAAATTGACCAAAATCCAAAAATCCTTCAAATTTAGCATCCAATTGAACTCAAAATCATTCCAATCCTTCACCAAAAATCTTCATGACAATCACTTATATTTGATCAATAAATTTGGCTCAATGTCATGACTAGCCAAACCTAAACCCAACTTTTAGCCATTTGGACCCAAATTGGACCCATACACCAAAATTAACTTAGTCATGCCTAAGCCACCAAATTGATGCACCAACACCAAATTGATGACACCAAAGCCACCAAGTGCACCTTATGGACCAGGCTAGACCCACCAAACCAGCCAAAATGAGCTATGGACCAATGGTCCCTTGAAATAAGGGATTTTACCTCATATTTGGCCTAAACTTGAAATTAGTCATGCCTAAGCCACCAAATTGATGACACCAAAGCCACCAAGTGCACCCTATGGACCAGGCTAGACCCACCAAACCAGCCAAAATGAGCTATGGACCAATGGTCCCTTGAAATAAGGGATTTTACCTCATATTTGGCCTAAACTTGAAATCTCCTTCATCATTGCTTACCCTTGGGGGTTAACCATCATTAAAAACCCCCTGACCTCCCTGAGCCAATAAGTGACTGAACCCTGGCCAGCCACCTCCTCAGCTGCCTGAAATAGGGAGCATATTTTTATTTCTTGTACCTATGCTAAGGAGGTTTGGCGATTTGCCCGTTGGAAGCTGTCGGCCACCAGAATCGAAATCTTATTTTTCATAGTTTAAATGAAATAGCACTATACCTAAAGCCCTATATCTATCCTGAAAGATAAACACAAGATTTGAGGATGAGACTAGATCAAATAAATTAAGAAATATATGTCATTCGTTTAGTCTGAGAAACCATTTTATTTACCGACAAGTTCCCCAACTATCTTAATGATTCTTAATCAAATTATTTGATAGGGATAATGAAAGTCAATGAGTGGTTGGTCGGCCAATGCTTTGGTTTTGACTGGTTATGTTGATCTTTCGCCATATGCATGTGTCGGTCTGCCGCAACAGCCAACTGTATTTCCTTCAAAGATTTGATTGCTTGATCGAACTAAGAGGATTTTGACAGCGGCCTCTCAGTTGGTAGGCTCGTCTTTCAATTGACTTCACTAGAAGAAGAATTCTTGTCAGTCTGCTGGTCACGTCTACCGACCGTGTCATCGAATCAATCAACATCTCTTCTGATGGATTCCATATTCTATTGTTTGGGACCCCACGTGTAAGCTCCAATTCCTGACCGCTCGATCACTTTGAGATTCGTGCAAACATTTCTATAATTTACAATATTATAATCAAATAACAAGTCGAATAACACCTTAAGCGAGTCGTTGACTTGGATGATCAATCAACATGGCCAAAGTGACCTTTAGATAAGGCCTGATTTGAATATGAGGTTAATTTAATCCTATGCAGCATAAATAATGTTATCGTGTATATGGTCATACGACGGTAATAGATTTGAAAGTTAAAATAGACAGCTTCATTGTCACTAGCCTTCTCAGCCATATAATAAAACATCATAAAAAAAAAAAACAAAAAGCCTCCGTCATCAAATCTCCTGGATGAAATAGTAAGGCGGCATTCTCGTGAAATCCATTTAAAGCGTCCCCTTTGTTTACTTCATTAAAACACCACTTCACATCTCATCCTCGTGACTGCAGTTAATATTCCCGCGGGTCCATTCTCAGCTGAATATACTAAACAAGCACCTTTAAAACACACAAGCCACCCGAACCAAAGGGAAGTTCCATCATTCCAAAACAACACCCAACGGTCTTATAAATCCATCCCCTCCGGACCGATTTAACAAATCACTCAAAATGCAGAGCCTCCTTGTAATCTTCTTCCTACTCCTCCTCCTTCAGCCATCCTACTTAGAATTTACGGTAGTGATGCCGGATTCGTCTAATCTCGTTGACTCTCCCCAAACTGGTTTCTCGACTCGAGCTCGCACTGACCCCAATGAACAACGCGCCGTCTATGAGATCATGGCGGCCACCGGCAACACCTGGGCCTCATCCATCCCCGACGTTTGCCGCGGCCGATGGCATGGTATCGAATGCATGCCAGACTCCGACGATGTCTACCATGTCGTCTCACTTTCATTCGGCGCCCTTTCGGACGACACAGCCTTCCCCACTTGCGACGACGCCCCGCAAGGCGGAGCCACCCTCTCCTCCGCTGTCCTCCTCCTCCCACACCTCCGCAGCCTCTTCTTCTATCGTTGCCTCGACGCCAACCCCCACCCGATCCCTGCCTTTCTCGGCCGCCTTGGCCCCACACTCCGCTCTTTAGTCCTCCGCGATAACGGCCATGTGGGTCCCATCCCGCCGGAGCTCGGCAACCTCACCTCGCTCCGCGTGCTCGATCTACATGGAAACCGACTTGAGGACTCAATCCCTTCATCTTTTTCCAGCTTGATTAGTCTCCAGCTTCTGGATTTAAGCAGTAATCAGCTCAGTGGAGTCGTTCCAGAGCTCAATTCTCCCTCTTTGAGCGTTCTGGATCTGAATCACAACCACCTCCATTGCCGAATCCCATCTTCTCTTTCCAAGTGCGAATCACTCCTCAAAATCGACCTTAGCCAGAACCGCTTCATCGGTTTGATTCCAGATTCGTTAAGAAGCCTTAAAAATCTTATTTTGCTGGATCTCAGCCACAATTCCCTCTCAGGCGGCCTCCCCTGTTCTACGAAAAACGGCTACGTTTCCTTACAAGCGCTGATACTGAAAGGGAACCCCATGACCTCTGCAACTATTCCCGAAGACTGCTTCGCAGGAATGAAGGAACTGAATACGCTTATACTTTCCGGAATGGGATTGGAAGGGCCGATGCCGGAATCCATGAGCGAGTTGCGGAGCCTCCGAGTTCTTCACCTTGAGGGAAACAGCCTGAACGGTTCCATTCCAGGAAACTTTAGGAGATTGGATAAGCTAAGTGAGTTGAGATTAGATGATAATAGGTTGGTTGGGAGGATTCCGTTTGAAAGGGAGATGATGTGGAGGATGGGGACGAAGCTCAGGGTATCGAATAACTCAGGGCTCTGCTTGGAAATGGAAAATGGAGGAGGCGAAGGATTGGAATCCATGGCGGGGATAACCTACTGCGACCCGGAGACGATGAGGACTGTGGGGGAAGAAAAGGGAAGTGGAGCGGAGACGAAGCACCTTTCGGTTTGGAACGTCGGAGGCTGGAGACCTTTTGTTCTGAGATCCGCGGCTGAAAAGCGCGCAAGAGAAATTATTCGAGATTTGTTTTTTATTGGTACTGTTCTTCGTATTTTAGTGGTTTGAGAGAACTGAATTGTGAAAAAGTATTTTCTGGCGAAATGCTGGTAAAGAGAAGAACTTTATGTACATTTTTTAACTGTAAACATTCGCGCTCGCCCTCACAAACTCAAAAAAAAATTTTCATACGAAGGCTCCAATTAGGATAAGCCCCAAGCAAAATGTATATATCATTAAGCCCTACTTTAAAAAATTATAAATTTATTAAATTTTATTTAGATGGCTTAAGCTAATTGGAGCCAATATCTGTGGAAATTTTTCTCCACAAATTCACCCAATTATTAAATTCACAATAAGATCCTAAATATTTAAACTGTAAAATGCCAACTTTTAAATACATAACTTTTTAGGTGCTATTTATGTAATTTTCAGAAATGGAATTGGATTTTTTACATGCCCATAACAAGTATTCACAACAAAACAGTTCAGCAAAACGTATTGATGCTATATATAATTATTATGATTTGATGTCAATGTTGTAGCAGTTGATTGATAATTCAAGCGTCTCCAATGCATTTTAATGACCGACTAGTAGGCGTACAATTTTCGTCTAAACATTTATTTTATATTTACAATATTGTTACATTAAAAACAGCATTATTGCTATAAAAAAAATGCATCATAACTACCAAAAATAAAAAATACACTAATGATACAGTGTTGCAGAAATAAAAACAAATTTTAAATACTAGATGTATATTATATACAGAAATTCTATGATATATCAGTAAATCTTCTAATAAATTTTTTTATGATTTGCATGGTATTAAGGTTTTGCAGATTAATTATAATTAATATGTGCCAATAAAAAGAATTAAATACCACAATAATCTGGTCAGTGAAACGGCGTCAATTCTCTTTTTCAATGTTTACTATGAAGGTCACCCATTCATCCTCATATTCTTGTTTCATGAATAATAAAATTTTCACAAAAACTACAAATAAATTGTTGTATACTCCATAAATCTATACAATGTTAACAGAAATATAACTGCAAAGCATACTGTAATAAAACAATATTAAAGTATGTGCATGAATCCATGCTTTCTCTAATACCCAACCAAATAAGGCCAAACATACAATAAAGCTCACATGGATTTATCTCCAACTTTAATTCGACAAACAATATTTCACAAAAGGCATGAAAAATAAACATGACAGATGCAAACAAAGAAAGATCAATAAGTTTTTATACAAACAGTTAATAAAATAAACTGCAAAACATGCTGCCAATAAAGCCTAGGGTGAAATTAGATATGGGAAGAAAAATAAACATGACAGATGCAAACAAAGAAAGATTAATAAGTTTTTATACAAACAGTTGATAAAATAAACTGCAAAACATGCTACCAATAAAGCCTAGGGTGAAATTAGATATGGGAAATAAAGCCCCCACAGATTCACCTGGAGAACAATTTATGAGACATAGGTTATTTTCTTCTTTAGAGATTTTGGTTTGGGGAAAAATACTGATAGCACACTCTTGCTACGAGCGGGAGGATGGGATGCTTCTCTCCGAGGATTCTCAGAGGACCTGACCGCTGAAAGGGGGTTAGCAACCGCTGTGGGGTCCTGTAATTAATTGAATTCCAGCAACAATTAGAATAAGGGGGTTGGGCAGAATACATAGGGTTATATAAATGTAAAATGGGGAAAATACGGTAAGAAGAATGGAGGAGCTCTACATGGGAATATAATTGACAATAAAAAACAAGTGCCAATAAAGAGGAGAAATTACGTACCGTAAGTGGGTGTATACAGTTATGTACTGTTCACAACTCGAGTATTTAAATATGTACCATAGGTAATAACTGAAATTTAATATATACATATTTAATCAAAAGGCAGTTAATAGCGTCTCTACAGGCTTTGTCATTAGAAGTCCATTACCCCATTCGAATAAATTGAAAGAGAGAACGAGCGAGAGCAGAAACTGGAGAAAGAAAGAAAGAAAAAAGACAATTAAAGGAGAGGAATCACGCACTTATCATACCCGAGATTCAACGCCTGCACAAAAGAAATCACACCGCACCGAGGAAGAGGACGCTATCATACCTTAGCCGGAACGGCGCTTGCTGAAAGTTGAAATCGAGAGCACTCTGTGCGTAGGAAAAGAAAGAAGACGAGATGTGTTGTTCTATGACCTAGCGATGGGGCGTCACTTACAGGAGGAATGCTCGTATCAGGAGGAATAGGGGAAGAACCGAGGGAGTCGAGCATGAGATTTCTCCACTTGCGGAAGGAGGAAGATACAGGGGTGAGTCACAAACGAAAGCAGAGCGTCGAGGGCCATCATTTGCAGAAGGAAGGGGGAGCGAGCCTTTGTGCATGAAAAGGAACAAGCAAAGGAGAATACGTTGAGGAGCTTCGCGTGTGATGTTGCTGTCAAGCTGAGGAAGGCATGTTGTGTCGAATCCTTGCCGAAGAAAGAGGGAGATTGGCTCCCTATGTTGTGTTAAAGTTGAGCCACGCTCAAAGGAAGAACTAGGGGGATGCTTGTACACATGTGTGTAAGGGCACAACTAACCGAAATTCATTTAAGGTTAGGGTAATACAAATTTCAGATTTATTTATTTACTTTACTTTAAAAAATCATTATAAGTATTAAAGTTAGTTTCTATTGAATTATGACAGAACCCTTTAAGTATTAATGTTAGTTTCTATTAAATTGGATCCTTTAATCAAAGAAATTTTAGTTAATAAGATTGGGAGGCATAAATTATTGATTTCTTACAATAAGAAGAAGGTAAATATCAAAGTTCTATTTTTATTAAGTGAACATTTGGTAATATAAATGTTTATGTGAACTTTAAATAAAATCAAGAATTAGAGATTGATAAATCCTTAGGAATTGAGTTAAAAGCGAATCAAGACATCCGAAGAAGGATAAAATAAAGATGTATAAGTTTTGTACATTAATTATATAAATTAGTTAATTAAAGGTGATGTTAATTTTATAACAACAATTTTATGAATTAATTTTAGTGATTTTAATTTGTCAAATAGCTGAATTAAAGGATGAGAAATATCGAAATTTGTTTGTACTAGAAAAAATAAGGTCAAGGGATAAGTATTTCAAAAATCTCTAAAAATTCAAGTATATGTTTTTTTCATTTGTATTAAATTTAAGTTTTATTTAAAAAAAGTACTTGCTTTATTGTCTTATCAACAACTATTTTTTTATTATATGCATATTTAAAGTTAAAGAATCTTTCAAATGCAATTAAAGGAAACGGGAAAGGATAAATGATTGATCGATAACTTTAAATGGATAAAAAAATGAAATGTAAATGCTTAATTAAGTCAATTATGATTTATCCTCAAATTGTACTAATAGAGGATGTGATATAACCTTGCACAAAAATGAAAATGAAAATGATAAAGGTGAACCTTTAGATGCATAAATTTGAAGTGTCTGCGGATCTAACTATTTTATAATATATTTGAGTATGATGGTAATCCTAATATAACTTATTAAAAAAAAGTTTAAAAATGTAAATACTTAAATTGAAACATAAATGGTTAATTTAAAATGAAAACTTACAGTTTAATAAGTAATGAATTATATTTCTTTTGATAATTCATGTATAATATTTGCATATTAAATTGACGCAAAAGAACATTAAATTTGCTCACTTGTACAAACTTACTATTTAAATTAGTTTTTTGTTTCCGTACAACACTAGGTTAATATAACTAATATGAGGATTTAGTTTTTTTGAAAGTAAGCCAAATCCCTCAAAATAGTTAAATCAACCTAGTGTTTTACCGGAAAGAAATAATTGACTACCGATATTAAATAGTAAGTTGTTTATTTTGATTCTAGTTCTTATGTTGTTTAATTTTGATAAATGTTGGATTATTGTTAATTTTAGTGTGATATTATTTTACTCGCAGACTATGTTGATACTTTGGATGAATTGAATTTTTGTGTAGTATACTTGTGATTTTTAGCGGTTTTTTTTATTATTGGAAATTATAATAGATCATGTCCTTTCCCCTTGACTAGCCTTTCAATGATTATCTCCTTAGCAGTGGGAAATTTTTAGGGAGAATATGCAATGGAAAGCCGCCAACTACAATCAAGGCTTACGACCGTCGAGAAGAGAATCTAGATAATGGCAACATGATACATCAAAGGAATGGAGTGGATCTCATCCACCATGCAGATTACAAGGATAAAGGATCTCTACCTCAAAGACATGATCTGAAATATCTGAAAAGCTAGAATTTTAAAGTGAATGTGTATTTTTCATATGTCGATGGCCACGTGGATCCGCAAAAGTTCATCGAGTGGCTCTAGACTTTGGAATGCATCTTTGAGCATCAAGACATCTCAACGAACAGAATAGTGAAATTAACTGCCAACAAGTTAATGAAGAGTGCATTTATTTTGGTGGCAAAATTTAAAGTACCTATGCCAAGTATAAGGTAAAGACAAGATCACTATATGGTAAGTTGAAATAGGAGAGGCAACGCCAATACATACTAATTCACTACAAATCGAATGTGCAGACACTAGCAACAACACTGGAGAAACAAGATTATCTTACGGCAATATCTTACAAGCAGAATTCAATCCCATGATCATACGGTGAGAGTACACTCAGGACAATCCAAGCTGACCCCATTGGAGGAGGCACTTGGTAAAACTGAAAAATAAGTGGATTCAATCCGCAATCCCAAATCCTTCCAAGCCATAAAGTGCTTCAAGTGTCAAGGATTTGGGCATATTAAAGTAGATTGGACAACTAGGGGATGTTATTTTTCACTGAGCAGAGAAAGTTGAAGAAATGGAAAATGACACAATAAACACAAAAGAGAGTGAGGACACAAATAAGGGATACTAGCTACTAGACAAAGATGAAGAAACACCATCAATTCCAGTTGAACCCAAAAAAAAGATTTTAGCTAAGTTGAAAATAACTGTTCTAGAAGGTAGTGAATCCGAAGTAATGGGTATTCATGTAGAGAATGAGAATGCGGTGCCTCAAGCTACAGTTTTGTAGGCATTAAGAGAAGCAACAGCAGGACTAGACTTGGATGCCCCAAATGACCATAAGTTTGAGGAGTTGATATCCAACATAGGGCAACCCCAAATAAGAGAAATTCATACTTCTCAAATATATAAACTACTTCATGAGTTGCCTTTACAGAGAGGTCAAATATGTTCAAGATGAGACTCTTTTGTGTCATTTATGCAAGCCCATAAAGAGTTAGTTTTAAATTAAGTTCAGCAATGCAGCCATCGATAGATGGCCAGATATGAGGGATGAAATACACAGTTGAAATTGCCTTAAAAGTTTGGTGGGAGAGAAAATACTACAATGGGATACAAGTCCTACCAGAGAAGAAGAGGTCTCTCATGAGTGGTTGCTAACAAGAGAGGCTTGGCCTGCCATAGGCTTCATCTTCAAGTTGATTCCTCTCAAACATACTTTTTGTCAAATACGTTCAAAGGAGCATGAGAAGTGGGAGAATCAGTTTACAAATGTAGTGGCTCAAGACCTAAATCATAAGTGTACTTAATCATCTAAAGTGTCAGCTCAAATTATGTCAAAAAAGGACAAATAATTAATCAATCATTATGTGTTTTGGAATGATGAAGCCTGCATGATTGACTTACTAAGACCTTGCAACATTTTCTTTACCTTCAACAGGCTCGACCTAACTACTATGAGTAGATGGAAGCTTCAATGAATGAGGTGAAGCTCCCCCAACCTCAGAAGACTGGTGTGGGGGCCTCATACCCGACGTAGCCGCTTAAATAACATTGTGGGAGCAGTGTAAGGGGAGCCACAGGCTACATCTGGACCGAATCAATCATGACTAGGAAGTGTTGATCAGCTCTTCCATGAAGGAATGGTGCCTCCTTTCCATAAAGGGGTCCAATCCTAAGTGGTATTTAGGGCTCATTTATGTGGTTCCTTTCTTATAGGTTTGCATTTTTTAACTCAGATTTTTGTCAAGATAGGGTCGGCGTACGGTGTTACCCTTGTAGGGAATCCGAAGACGAGAAGGTGCTTCAATTGTAACTTGTCTGAGGTGGTGACCTTCTTCCAAGGGTCGAGTGACACTCTGGCTTAGCTCGTTCTTGAGGAAGTATTTATCCTCGAACTTTCCATCCCTACCCCTTCGCTTCGTTTCCACGCCTCTTTCCTCTCGGTAGTCGCCCAGGACAGTAGTCGATGTTGTTATTTTTTGCAGTCCTCTTTCCAGCCACCTCCCTTCCACAATCCATGTTTTTCTCCTTCTGAATCAGCAGCCATCCCTCCCTCTTGTTGTTTTTGACTGACCACAACATTCCAACAGCCTCATATTTGCCGCCTCGCTGTTCCAGCCCTCTGCCCTCGCTGACCTCACTGTCTAAACCCTCGAACATCATTGTCGCAGCAAGCAACACTCTCCCTTTATGGTTTTCTTATTATGCAACCATCCCAAAAATCAAACTACTGTTGTTTGGACTGTCATCGCTTGTTGCCATGTTGTTACAGTCGTCTTGCACAGCCCGGAAACCCCTTCTCTATCTTGTGGCCATCTTTCCAAGCCCCCTAACTATTACCACCATCACC